AGCTTTTCGGTTGCCCACACAGTGCTGTAACTTTTTAGGTCTTCAGCCAGGCAGCTTTCAGGAAGACAGTAAGCTTGAGCCTTTTGTTTTATTACGTTCTGTAAGATGAAGCCAGGCGAGGAGTCACTAGCACAGTAGTTCCTCACTAAGCATTTCCCTTCTCTTTCAACCACAGGCTTTTCAGGGCATTTGTTCATAAAGCAGTCGCTTTGGATTATTTTCAAGTTTAATTTGGGGTTTGGTTTGGGTTTTTTTTTTTTGATGAAACATGCAAGACAGGCAATTTTCCACTGAAGACTAACAAAAAGCCATACAAACAATACACAGTTCACTGCCAGTTCTCCAGTGCACCAATACCCAGACAGAATTCCCATCCATCCAGGCAGATTCCCTTCCCAGGGACAGTGTAAGTCATGCACATAATCCCCAACAGATTTGGAGAGACAATGCCCAATTCAATAACGGCTTCAGGGATTCTTTGGCACAGGGCAACTGAGACTTCACAGCAGCGACCACACAAGAAACTGCAGAGAAAGCCGAGCTACATCAGGCAACGCAAATTCCCACGACACACAGAATTACTCTGAAAATTCAGAGAAATTATAGTTTGGTTTAATTTAGTGAAGTCTGAGAAGTTGGCATTAAGAGCAGGTTAATGAGGAAATGCCATGCAACACGTGCACGGGCACGGAATTTTGTTTTCAGCCCAAGACAAGGGTTCTTCTATGCCAGACGCTGGCTGGTACTTCGTTAGCAACTGGAGCAATAGGTCAGGCAGCTGAGAAGCATCCAAAAGAGGTTTTCTTCACAGACTGGATTCAACACTTCCAGCTGCCGCAGGCAGGATGGTTTTAGGAGATGAGAGACTAAAATACCTAATTGAAACTCTACAAATGCTTCAGAACAATATGCTTTTATAAGGCTGGAAAGCAAACCGTGCCACTACACACAGAGGCCTGCCCATCTGCCCTCTCCTCCCCAGCGCAGCTCCAGCTACAACGCTGCACATGTCGTATTTAGCAGACAAATACTGGCTGAGCGCTACAGTGTGCTGAATCCTAAGTGAAATCTTAGTCTGTATTTGCTCCGGATCGATGATTTTCAGCCTTGCTCATTCACCCCCTCCTCCCATTAAATCACAAAATAGCAATGTGGGGGAAAGAAGCAAGAGATGTGAAGTTTGCTTTCATTTACAGAAAGCATCCTAAATCTTGTTGTGTCTCACAGTTGCAAGAGGACGGTCCTCAAGAAGGCAGGGACACCTGCACCCTGAAGGATTTTAATCCCTTATGGAACACGAAACACAACAGCTCGGGCTAGGGAGAAAGAAAAACAACTGGATGGTTTGAACGTAGGTAAAGATGCTGAAGAGGTGATGTTATCTTTGCACCTTACACAAGGTCATGTTTAATGGGAAACTCAACCTGTAAAAGGTATTTTAAATGCCTGCAAGTAGAGCAAGTCTCTCTACCAGCTTAAAACACTGGAACTCTTATTATCTGCATCAGTCGATACCTTTTAGTCTGTCTGTTTGCATTTCTGAGGGCAGGAACTGGAAATGCTGATCTTCTAGAAAAACTTTGTCACCCACCTGTGGGAGACCCACAGATTTACAGAGCACAGCTTAACCCACATGGGGCGGCTCCTGTCAGAGGTTTACCCTTTAGATTTGCCACTCCGAGAAAAGACAAAGAGAAGCCGGGAGACACAAAGCAGAGCCTGCTCTGACCATCACTCATATCTGTTTATTGCTTTGGAGCATAACCCCGTATCCCAGCGTTGTGTATATGATAGCACATCTGACTTGCATATTAAATACAGAAAAGTAAGTGATTCCACATGGTGCCGAGTTGCTCCGGAGCCAGATGAGCAGCGGTCCCCCCGCATGCCGGTGGCGCCGACTGCCAAGCACTCACCATTTGGAAGCCTATGACCGCCTCTGTTGGACCTGCTGCCGTAGCCGGAAGAAGCCAGGAACTCAAAATAGTTGCAAAGTGTCTCCTTTCGGGTGGGGTGGAAGATTCTTTCCATCACAGGGCCAGTAAAATATGTGCTTTAACCTTTTTTCTTGCTTCCGTACTTTTTATTTTTTTTTCTTTTCTAAACAAAAAGGAGTCTACAAGAAACCCAGATCTGAGCCTCCTCCGGGGGCTCTCACACGACTGGGCGCCTCTGATGCAATACTTGGAGCCCCGTGGTGCTGGAGTGTGGTGGAGTACTTAACACCCCCGCAACAGCCTCTTCCAGCACCAGCAGCCTGCAGAGCTGATTTCTCCTCCCAGCCACGGGGTTTTTCATCAATAGGGTGCAGCTGTGCACAGCACAGAACTGAGGGGGATCCCAGGAAAACTGCGGCCACCAGGAACAGGCAAGGATTGCCCAACAGAGCCCTCTTCGCTGCTGCCTTCATTGAAAGAAATGAGCTTTTTTTTGTCACAACATCAAGTTGAAGTAAAGGAATTACATACAGAGGACTAAATCACTACCACACAAGAAGTGTCCTCCTTCTTAAAAACATAAAAAGCATCTAAAAAACATTAAAAAAAATAAACACCCTCCACTTTCTCTTAACTTTATCACACGTTTACCTGTTACAGGCACAGCACAAGCACGAAACCTCCTCAGCTTTAAACCACAAGCTAGGGAATTGTCTGCCCAGCTCAAGTTCCTACGCCTGCCTTCGGGGTCACCTATATACTTGCCTACCCCTACCTTGTCTTCTTTCCCTGATTTACAAAAGCAAAAAACCACATCAAATCAGGTATCTGGAAACAGTTGATACCATAAAAACAAATGTTTGCATTTAAGAGGCCACAGAGCTTTCTAAGAAAAAGAGATCTGTGAATGTCTCTCTAGTTTGACCCCTGAAACCATGAGACTCCTTAGGGAAAAGGCGGACTCAGAGAAGCCATGGACTCGGCAGTTTTACTTTACTCACTTTCACGTTTTTGGCACAAGCAGCCCCAAATAGATCGGGCTGGAGCAGGGATCCTCCTTTCCTCCCCACGCTCACCTTTAACATCACCCAAACCATATGAGCTCACTCTGCAGGGCTAGGAAATCCCAAGCACGAGGGTTGAGACAGCAGCAGACGCTGGAAAAGTCTCCACAAATGGCACAAAACGCTTATTACTGACGTTGAACCTAATGACAACAGTCAAGGGTGACTCCTCGGTCACTCTTATAACCCATCGCATGGGCAAACCACCAGCTGAACACCACTGGGATAGGGAACATACAGCCACGGGAGAGGCTCCCAATTCTCTTCTTTTCTCTACATCATAGATCTGCAGGGAAAGGCTGTTCAAAGCTCGGTGGTGGGAAGCAAAGGGAAGCAGGGCCCTCACCCAACAAGGCTGCCAGGCAAATTCCAGGGAAGGAAGAGGGTCTTGGAGAGGTCCACACCTTAAAGCTCATGCTGGAGAAGATAGAAGGGGGAAGGGTAGCATGGACCCGGGAAAATGGGTTACAACAGGAATCCCAGACACGGGAGAATTAATGGGGAAGGAGGACTGGGATGGGATAATCCCGGACACGAGGCTGGAAGGAAAAGGGGGAACTGACAGGGAAACACCCTGAGAAGATGCCAGACCCTACAGCAATGAGATGGGACATAGGGCGCCTGGGCTCCAGAGTGGGGCCGGGGGGAAGGAAAAGGGGTAAAGAAGAGTCCCAGCCCTGGGGCACGGACTGCGTGGGAGAGGGGAGAGGATCCCATGCCCTGGGAGAAGGCGGTGGGGAATAAGATGGAGGAAGAAACCAGTTCAAGCTGCAGAGGAGCCAGCCCTGGGCGAGGGCAGCAGGAGGGCGGCCCCGGGGTGGGGTGTCCGACACGGAGGAAACGGGGCGAGAAGGGGCCAAGTACGGGAAAAGGGTCTCCCCCCGGGTCCCTCGCCCTCAGCCCCCCAGGCCCCCTCCTCCCCCGCCCGCCCCCGGCTCACCGCGGCCGTAGCCCTGCGTGTGCTTGGCGAAGCTCCTCACCACCGCCTCCACCGCCTCCCGAAGCACGGCGGGAGGCCCGGCGCCGGGCGGCGGCGGCGCGGCGGGTCCCTGCAGCCCCAGGGGGGGAGGCGGCGGCGGCAGCCCCAGCCCCAACCCCAACCCCAGCCCGGTCGGGGGCGGAACGGCGGGCAAGGGCGCCGCCACC